CTGCGCTGCTCGGGCTGGCGCCCAGCTGCCGCCCCAACCCCTCGATGACGAGCCGGAGTGAAAGCGAAGGTCTGACCCTCCCTGCTGGGAGCAGCTCAAGTGAAGGGGTTTCAGACAAATGCGGCTCCCCCGGCCCCATCACCTGTCAGGAAATTTACGATTGCCATTTTCACATCCAGGTACATGCTTAGCGACTCATGCAAAATAAATGGTTTACCCTGACGCCTGCGTTCTTTGAGGAAAACACAGTCGCTTTCTTGGAGTCTTTGCCCAGGGAACATTCCCTGTTACGTAAACGGTCTACCTTCCACGTGTGAATGAATCTACAGGACCTTGCGTTCTGTTTTATAGTACGTGTTACCTGATGGCACACAACTAAATTCACTGGCTGATTAATGGCTGGTCCCTTAATTACTCTGAATCCTAGGTGATGGCTAGTATTCAGTGTATTTCATACGTGCTGCACTGACTGAGCAATCCATAAGATTATAAATTACTAAAATAAACACCCCATGGCCTTGCAAGAACTTTTTATCAGTTGTTAGAGTCTTCCTTACTGAAGAGGAGGGCAGACAGCTGACTCTGAATACCACACCAAACGCTTAAAAGACTGTTCCATAATATTATATGGATGGGGAAATTTGAAATTGCTCGCTAAATAAGACATCGTGAACAGTAACATGCCCAGAAATTTAGCTACTATCACTTCTAGTAAAGATGGTTATTTTGGACAATGCAAGCAACAGAAATTTGTGTAATAAAAAGATAACACATGCATTTTTCTGAATGTACACACCCGCTATAAAAATTTCTGGTTAACTTTGAAGTTCGAAGCTTAAGGTAATTTGAAAAGAGTTACATAATAAAATAGCCTAATTGTTATGTTCTTGATTTCAGTCTCTAGTCCCCAGTTTGCAGGCACATTTGGTACATCTAAGACATCCAGGAATGCTGTCAGTCCCCAGGCCACCCGTTCAGCATTGTTATTATGTAACGACTGGTCCTCAGATGTCTGTGTCCATTCACAGTTAACAGAGACCTCTACCCTTCTAATTGTCATTAGGGAACTACAGAAGTCATATAAAAAGATTAAATAAAAAGCTTTAGACCTCTTTTTAAAGATACATATACTTTGTCCAAGTCTACTACAACTTCTGATTTTCAGCTGCTTTTGTAACAGCCAATTTTTTTCTAAGAGATGCCAAGAGACAAAAGAGAACCCACACTCACAAGCAGAACACTCTTCATTAAGCATCATTAATGGTACTTTAAAATAAAGAATTTGAAAGCTTGTCAGTAAATTCTCTAAGACCAGCCTACTTTGTTCAGAAAGGAAGACAGCATACTGGGAAACCTTTCCTCTAAGAAAAGAGACAGACAGAAACATCAATAGGAGAGACAGCAAAGAAGAAAAGTTAAGCACATTTTTCTAGTGGTTAAATCCCTGTTCTTTTCTATGGAGATATACGATGGCATCTGTATGATTCAAGCTTGGCATTCAAATATAGTAATTCCTGTAAATTTAATTTTACTGAAATAGTAATGAAGACACTGGCTGCTAGTGAGCAAAGCAATACATTGGTGATGTCAAGTTAAGAGAGGTGATGCATGTCTTACTATCATAGCTGTTAAGTAGCCATTATCACCTTACCTTTCCCAGCTTTTCAGCTGAATTAAGATACAAGCTGAAAAAATGAAACTATGCATGTAGCATAGCTGGTAATGGTGTTCTGACTTTTCAGAAAACTAATGTTAGATCTAGTATAGCAGATAAAGCATTAACCAGTACAGAATTTGAGGAAAAAAACCCCAATTGTTTTGCATCAAAGAAATCGTTTTCCCAATAATCTAAGCATACTTATAACTATACTTATCAGCCTACCATCAGATGTTCAAAACACTGATTAATCTTCACACCTCTAGAACATGTCAGCAAACCTTTTTACTGAAGTCTTCAGAAAGGTGATGAAAACAAAAGGCTTGAAGCAGTCAGCGTGGAGCTAATGTTAGAATGCAAGACTGCCCGACACCAAAATGTGAATTTTTTATTCTAGGTAACATGCATTATTCTTACAGAACTTTAGACAAAAAATATTACTGAGTGTGATGTTCTGAGGCGGGCAACAGACACCAAGATTTTATTAAAATGCAAGCACTGGCTGTTCTTTTTCAACAGAGGCAAGAAGTATAATGGCAAATGAGTATATAAAAAAAGGCTCGAAGACACAAAGATGGCAGGCCTAGCCGAGAAGCAAAAAACAGTACTACCATCACCAACCCAAACCCTCAAAACATTACTTGGGGAGGGAGCTGTCAGTACTGCCGTTCCACCAATACTCACTTGTAATTCCTCCAATTTCTTCTACCAGAGCAAGGATTATGATTCATGCCCTTCTACAGACCAGAAAACAGACAAAACCTTACATGGACAGTGGTTATAAGAAACATTACATGTGGCATCTACTTACACTATCATGTGCATTCCCACTGCAACAACAGTAAACAGGACTGGCAGAAACGGGTCAAACACCAGGCAGCCCAATGGTGACACCTGACGGCCTTAGCTGATGTCATTTGTGTCCATTCGAATAGGTAGCTGAACTGCACTCTGACTGCTTGGCAACTGCTTCTTTTTGAATTACCATTAAAAGGCCAGGAGAATTAGATGCATCAGAATAAGAACTGAATGTTAAATGCATGACTCCCACGATAGTATTAAAATAATTCCTGTATACACAGGATCTGAAGTATTAAAATCGCCAAGAAAATCTGGTTTGCAAAACAGTCTTTTATTGTATCCGTGCCACACATACTAGTGAAAAATAACACTCCTAAAAAAGGAAAAGAAAAAGAATGCTACCTTTCCACAACATTTCTTTTAAATAAAACTTCAAGTACTCTTACATTAGTACAAAAAAAATTCTGATCTATCTGCCCCAACAGGCCACCACAACACACAGTAGATAAAACACAGTGGTTACGAATGTCTTTTTTGTTTTTTCTGTGGCAAGGCAAATGGAGGGAAATGTTTCTATGAAAAAATACTGTGTGCGTAGGAAACTGTCACAATTTTATTCCACGTGGATACAAATGATTATACTTGAATTTGAGGCCGTGGTGGCTTGAAATTATATAACAAAATAGAAAAATGGAAAACTAATATCCCCTACACCCTGTTTTAAAGGCAGGCACTACCAAGATTAAGGAGACTCCACAGTGTTGGTAGAGGATAATTACTGTACAAGCCATATAGCTATTAATTACTGTAAAACTAAAATAAAATGCTACCATCCTTCTAAGGCATAAACAATAATGTCTGCAAACAATATGTACACATCATACATATTTAAAACAAGACTTAATATAAACAATAATGAACAGTATGTACATGTCTCAATTCCTCTTCACTGTCTTGAAATACAATTTAACTACACAAGTGATGCAGCAACATATATATAAATGTACTTGTAACTCTACAGTAAAGTTTAATTTTAGTGCTTTTACAGCACATCAGTGTAAACAGTTTTACTTGGCTTTGTTTTATATTTTAAAACATTCCTTGTTGTATTTTCAAGATTTAAAGCAATTTTCTAATTCTTCCTTTTCACAGAAAACGAAGATTCTGAATGCTGTATAATCATAAATAATTCATAAAATTAAATACATTCACTAAAAAATAAACTACAAAGTAAAAAAATGAAAAATAGATATTTATTGAAAGGGAAAAGAGAACCATTTCCCCAAGTAGAGCTCTGGTGGTTGAATATTCAGTGCGTTTTGATATATTTTAAATTGCTATTGCACTATAACACCCCTTTCTTTGAAATTCTTTGGGTGTGCTTCCCTGTTCTACCTAAATTAGTTTGTTAAAACACACAAACCAATAACCAAGGGGCCATGGCTGCTGTAGGAGTGAAGCCTTTAGAACAAGTATCACAACTCTGATATTTTAAAGGAAAAAACAGTCATTAGTTATGCATGTGCCTTGCACTTTCATGTAAATACAGTTCACATTGCTGGTCTTATCAGTCCTCATTTAATGGAGAAAAAAAAAAAAAGGAAAAATAAAAAGCAAAAACAGTTCTGGTAACTTCAGCTCACTTTGAAAATCTCTGTCCATTTTTTTTCAAAATACTTCCTCATGTTGTGGCCAGCCCTGCCTATGTCAGAATCATCTTCATTAAAGGTTTCACAGTTGTCAAAAACAAGCCTGACATCTAGCGAAAATGCTTCAAGATTAGGGTACCTGAAAGAAGAAAAAGGTGAATGATTTTTGGAACATGGAGAATCAAACAGGAAAAACACTTCAACTACGTAAGAAAGAATTACCTTAACATCAGTGAATTTACAAACAGCCCCAGAATATTCAGTATATGCTCTACATGTTAATTATATTACTAATTTTTTAATTTTAATATTAACAAGAAGATGAACATCAGCGGAAGGAAATATTGGCTCGTCATCGCATTTGTTATTTTCCTCAAAAACTCTGTAAGGTAGAATTCCAAGCCTGTACTGGAAAACAACCTATTTTTTAAATTAACTTCCTCCTTCCCTTCAATAGCTTTCTAGTTAAAATGCTATGGCTATTTTCCATTTATTCATCTATTCTTGGGCTCAAGTCCTTTCAAAGCAAGTGTTGAGTACAGCTGTATTTACCTAAAAGAGGAACAATCAGGTACAAAAAAAGGCTGCCCAGATCAATCCCGTAACACTTTGTTATTCATTTTATTATCCTGAACATACATGGTCCAAACAGTGTTCCAATATTTACAGGAATTATTAGACAGACAGTAAAATTTACAAGTCTACCAATACCAATGAGCATGTGTAGAGCATTTAAATCTCTGATTCAAGGGTGAAAAAGCATGGAGAGGTTAAAAAGCCCCTTGTGTTACCCCTAGCAAATTTGCTTTGTGTGGAGCTGATAGATGTTGAAGAGGGTCAATCTTTATGGATGACAAAATTTTCTTTGCTGGTGAGGAGTCATTAGAGCACACGGATGAAACAAGGAGGGAAGGGGAACAGAGGCATATAGTGTCTTTCATTTTGAAAAAGCTGTGCAGTCTAATTCTAGGACTATAAAATGACTAACCACCACCACTGGAATGTTACCTGGCTTCCCACAACTGGGGTACCAGTCACTCCACAGCCACAACATTATTTATAGGGACTCCGTTAGTGTAAAGCCCAAACAGTTGGTTCTTGCTTACACGTAACAACACTAAGATGTCTCAATAAGAAAAGACGAGGAAAAGAAATTTTTCCTGTTGATTCATTTTGCACATTTGACCTGGCAGTTTTACTGTTTTTCTGGCAGTTCCAAGGTTCTCCCACCTGACATGCTATTTCACTTAGATATGGCAAACACAAAAGTATACAGTTAAGAATTTTTCTTTTGACTGTAAAAGTAGTCACAGAGGTGCCAGAGCAGGCAGATCAAAATAGTTTAACTAATTTTAAAAAATGTACTGTATTTCAATGTTTAAATATTTTTAAAATGTAAAGTAAAACTTGGAATAGGTTTACTTACTGTCCACTACTTAGCTTGTCTCTAATGGTGGAAAAGTCCATGGGTTTTTTAATAACTTTCTTATAACCAGGAACAAGTTTCAAGTTTACAGGAAGTAAGAAAGGCCAGGCGTCTTCATGAGTTTCCAATTCTGAGAGAATCATGCTGAATAAAACAAGGTTTTAAATCAGTATTTTACAGCTGTTCACATATCCACAGATGTTTTCCACTGTTCCATAAATTCATCATGTACTGCCAACCTATTCACTTTATAAAAGGAAAGCACTTTATTCTGTGCCCTGTGCAAGGCTGAGAACAATGTCAATAAAGACAGACATCTTAACCGAGTATTTAAAATAGCATTAAGTTCTCTCCAGGCAACCTACGTAAGATGAAATTCTAGTGATGAACATTCTGCAAGAAAAACACAGCCCTGCAACTTCAATACTTTGAACCTCAATGTAAGCCATTTGCAAACAGTCAAAAGGTGCTAAGACTGGTTTTCCAAAACTGACGAGGCTAAACTAAGTCACTTTTGACTGACCAGCAATACTAGAAAAGAAGATGCATTCCTATTACTGTCTCTGTATCGCACTGCATTTTGGACATAATGGACAGGCATCTTTGCTATGCTTGAGAAAGCTGTCAGTACCACTGCTCTCAGGGTTGATTCTTCCCATTCTTGCAAGGGCACGGAGGAGTAAATTTCACAGACCACATGCTAACATTAGATGCTTTCCTCTTGGGCTTCATTATCAAATACAGCAGTTACTCCCAGCATGCATACATTAAATCTTTTACATATACACTCAAATTATCACAACCTGCGTGGGATACATGAACACAGAATAGAGTTCTTGTTCCCCAGGACACAAAGAATCAGGCACTACTTACTTCAACAACTCTTACCCAAGTTTAGAATTTGTCACTTTACCTGCATATAGCCAGGTCCTTTGAGTCATCTCTTTTAGGTTTCTTAATAGCAGGGATACTTTCTTGCTTTAATTGGCTTACAGAAACATTTTCATCCATTTTTCTTTTTCTAGGGTCTGTTTTTCCTCTTTTTAAGGAGGCACTTGTAGTTGCAGAGTCTTCATCTTCTGTATCTCCTGCTAATTTCCTGCTTCGCTTTTGTTCATTACTTTTTTTCCCTTTGATTTGAAGTTTTTTTATTTTTACAGTTTGACCACTTGCCTACAATAGAGAGAACTGAAATAAGCAATAACCAAGAACTTACAGAAATCTCTGTAATTACTGATAGACAGCAATGAACATCAGACAAACAGAAGCACCAAAACAACTGAAATATTTAGTATCAGAGATTATTCACTTTTTGCTCTTCTCTAAAGTCAAGTAAGGTCATAGAACTTCCTGTTACTAGTGATTTAGGTTCTCAGCTTGTGACAATACAAAAGCACATGACCTTCTGACTGGTAAAACAGTGCCTCCTAACAAACCAGGCTGGCATAGTTTTAGACAATGATTTGTCTATTCCTAAAAGATTGATATAACCACAGCTAGAATGGCATATTCATTTTCAAGCATTTTCAAGATATGAAACATATAGATAGCTTGGCTACAAGACAACTATGGGAGAACATAAAAGGAGTATGACAATACAAGAATGCTACAAAGTGGGGGAAAAAGGACCGTTATTTAATAAAGAACTATTTATAGACAGTAAGGTGAAACTAAGGGGTATATTTAAGATGAAAAAATTAAGTCATTATGGATATTGACAGCATCATAACATGGCACAGTATTTGAAGTCATCATGAATGCTGTGTATACAATTCCTTTTGCTTAACACAGACCACTACAAAGATTTGTAAGTAATTGTACTCTCTTCACGCCACTCTGTATCATGACTACGTTCTTGGTTCAAGGACAGAAAAACAGTCAAGTATGTCAGTTAACATGGCAGCTGAAGAGGAATGTTGATTTTCAGCCATCTGGTTAAAAACATAACGTAAGGCAATGAGAACAGATCAACTGTCATCACCTAAGGCCTGACTTTGCGATGTTCTGTGAATATTAATTCTAAGTAGGTGGGAATGGCAGATGTTGATGTTTCTCGTGTTTCAGGCAAGAAAAAAAAAATTAAAGTCGAGTTAAATTAGGATGGCATAGTTTATACCTAGTCTTCAACAAAACTGTTTCAATGTTTTGCAGAATTCTGAATCAGTATTCAACATGTGTTAAAGTTCTGCTGGAATTTCACCTTAAATTTCTGGCACCTTTACATCTCCAGCTTTCAGCCAAATTTGAACAGAAGAAAAAACTGGGGCAGAGGGGAGGAATCAAACAAATGTTTTTCTGTTCTACTAAACCTGGGGGGGCAGGGGGTGGGGTGGGGCGCAGCAGGGAGAGGGGGAGGGCAGAATATCTGGAGAAGTGATGGCATAAATTATAGCATGATAGGGTAATCTCCATCTTTATAACACCGTAAGCTGTCATATTACCATAATAATGACAGAAAAAGTTACAGCATGAGTTAACACGTTATAAACTACTACACAATCAATTCTCAACAGTAACCTGTTTTTATTACTTCTGTTGCACATAACAGTTTAAAAAATAACGTCTTCCTTACTACTTTGTGCAAGATGCAGAGAAAAAAGGGACACATTGACAATAACTAGGGAAAATACAAAATTAAGTGTTTACTGTAAAGTTCTTCAGTAACTTCTCAGTTACAGTATTCACAGGTAATGGCAGAAAACATAACTAACAAGTTTAGCAAAAAATGCATTTAACTTTAGAGATTTTAGGGATAGGAAAATTGTTGACTTTTAAACAATACTAACTGCTAATTCAGTCATTTGAATAGAACTATCCTAAACTTCTATTAAGACTACTTTTCTTGGGAGGGGGAAAAAACCCCCCAAACCTCACACCGGAAACATACATAGTCTCTCTCTCAAATGTACTCTGTATCAAAAAAGTAAAACTAAAGTATGCTATAAAAAAATGACAAAAAATAGTTACTAAGTATTTTCTCCAATTTTTCTTTTCAAACAAAACCTAAAACATTGGTCTGTCAACACTTAACAGTGAAGCTTGAAAGACAAATATTGAAAAAATTCTGAAGGAGAAATCAAAAACTATGGTATTGAATCAGCAAGAAAATTCAGTACCTACTTACATTAAAAAAATACAGTTTAAAACAAATAAAACTGTAGCCTTTACTACCACTAAAATCCAAGTTAAATAAAACTATTAATCTCATTATTTAATGGCAGCCCAGCATAAAAACTACAGACTGTTTTCACTGAGAAAGGTGCTGGCAGACCTGTTAGTGTACCACCTGTAAAAGGTCACTGTAAGTCCCTTCACCTTTACAGTTAGTATTACCTTTGCTATGCAGGCAGGACAAAACCAGTCACCATCTGGTATGGTAGTGATCTTGGGTCTGTGGCAATAGGTATGACAGCCTTTATCGCAACCATCACAAAGGAGCAGCAGTTCCTCATTATCTCCCTTTCGACAAATTTGGCAGTACTATAATATGTGAAAAATGGCATTAATTCAATTTTTAAAATCTGAAACACAGGAGTGGTACCTAAAATACCCTTCCCCTCCAAGCACGCAAATTCAGTCTCAAAATTATTTTCCTTTCATTTTACCACCATCAGAGTCTACTAATGATCACATTTGTAAAAGAATACATGCAGTATGTGAGGAACTAATCTAAAGGCTACATTTGGGAACACAATTGAAAAGCAATGCATTATAAGATAGGTGTCCTACAGCACGCAAAACTATGAATACTTCTTGTATTTCATTAATGTCCCTGAGAAGTAAAGGTATCTTATACCTATCAAAATCACTTGGTCCACAGATACTGTCTCAGGAATCTTCTCTTCATTTATGCCCATACTGCACATGTAAGTTGCTATTTCATAGAAATAATTTATATTTTACGATAGTACTTTCAAATAAGTCAGAAAAGATCTTATCCAAAGGCCACCATGAACAAATTTAATACGGCAAAACAACTGATCCTAGCACCTCCTAAAATTCACACTAACTTTAAAATATCTAATATATTGTCAATTTTCTTACATTGTGTGATTTTATTTTTCAGGAACTTAAAGATTTCCACATGTTTTCACCAAATACTTACGTTAACTGTTTAATTAAATGCATAGAACATTTCAATCAAATTGAGAATGATACATTTTTTTCTAGATAATAAATTACTACACCTTGAAACATTTAAAAGCCTTTTCAGGTGCTCCTACTAAATTCATAAACTTTTTGCTCTAAAGATACAGCTTTAAACTTACAGCTATATAAACTCAAAGGTACAGCCTTACACTATAGTTTTTATTTAAATCATCCTTTAATTGTCCAGATGTAATTAGAATCTATATAGGAGTGGCAGAAATTAAAAAATTAAGGAAAAAAACACAAAGGGAAGAATCGCTTTTGCCACGCACTACGTAGCACTGGCCATACTTAATCACATTATAATCACTATTGCTATAGTAATAGTTTTGTTTTCAGAAATTTGAGGTTCAAAGGTCCATGCAAATTTTGACACATATTTTGCATGCCTTCTTTGTATATGCAGTTAACACGTATCTATGTTAAGTGTGTAACAAAACAGGTATTTCAGCCCATTTGTTCACACCCTTGCCCAATTTGTATGTTCAGTTGTGAGAAGTGTGCATGCAAAGAAACCACACATTTGCAGCATCTCAACTTTCTGAAAAATGAAGTCATTAATTGGGATATGTGATGTTGAACCTCCATACAGCTTATGTCATGGATGAGATCGGAAATATTCCATCAGATAGAGCCAGAAGTGACTCTTTTTTTACCTAAATGTTAACAACAAAGAGTAATTACCATCTTAAGTAAAGCAACCAGTTACAGGGGCTTTTTATCTTGGAAAGTTCAGGATACTGAATTTGGCAAGCAAGGGACAATCTTTGCCAGTGGGCTTATATTTATCTGTGCACAATGTACAGTTTAACTATGTTAAGTTTTACACACAGCAGTAAGAAATGCATTATTAACCGTCATATCTTAACATGTCTAAAGTGGTAAAATAGGATATAGCAAGAATAGTTTAGTTACAGTATTTTTTTTTAATTAAAAACACTTACAACTTTCATAATAGATTTCTCCCATGCTATTGATTTCTGTAACTGCTGAATGCACAGAGCTACCTGCGCAGCACTGCACGCTTCTGACAATGCCCTTCTCCATACTTTTAGCCCTGGAGCAATATCCTCTTCCGTTCTGCATTGAAATACAGAGAAATTAAGTAGGTCACATCCGTGTTTGCTTATGTTTAAAACGTGGAACAATCATCATCACATTGAAAGCCAAGCAATGACAAAACATACACAGCCACTAAGTACAAGGTTTAAGCAACTAAATTTCATGTAGTGCACAGACTGTGGCTACGTGCCTCAAAGCTTAGTCACAACCAGTTAAATGTAAGATAACTTTGCAAGATTATCAACAAACGTAACAAAAAATATCTTTACAAAGCACCATGCAGAATAACATGATCCATATGGATCACAGACATACAAGAAAGTACATAGATAACAGGCAATAAGAAAATAGGCTCCAATTAGCAAAGAAGCACAATAATTTTTCAAGTTAATCTCAATAACCTACCCGTCACCATCACCACTAATGGATGGTGCAGGAGCAGGGACAGTAACTGTGCCCACATTATCCAGTTTGATCTGAATGGTGGTACTTAAGGGGCTCTTCAGATACCTTCGCTCTATGTTCCGCTCCAAGTCAGCAAGCCTGGTTACAGCTATATCTAGAGGGTTGTCACTCTTCCGCTCTAGAGAGCTGGTATTGCCTTCTCCGCCTCCAGCACAATCTCCATCGTGCTTCTTATGCAATCTAGTAACTGATTTATGTTCACGATATACCAAGTCGTCTCTCTCTGATGCAGGTTCAGGACACAGCCAACCCTATGTTAATAGAAAGGTTTGCGCATTTACTTGTTGCTGTTAATTTAGCGTGTAAATGGAGGAACTGTTCTATGGAATCAAACTAAGTAACAGAAGCGGTGTTTCCAGTAGATCTTGGTTATGTGTAATCCATCTGCAGAGACAGTTTCCAAAATATCCAGAGAACTAAAAAAATTAACCAAAAAATGCAAGCATTACCAGATTTCTGAAGGGACATTTCTGCAACAGTCTGCATTCTTATCTCCTTTTGAAGTATCCTGTTCTATTAGTCGAAACATCAGAATAGGTCTATCTGTCCAACAGGCTCAAGAGACAGTATCAGTGGGTCACAAAGAAATAACATCCACCCCTAGAACAAACTAGATCCCAAATACTACATCTGTACTATAACCAAACACATGCAATTTGATATCCTTACACCCACCTTGGAGAAGTTACAAATTGTAATGATAGACAGTGAATTCTTAACTCTTTCACACTCACAACCATCACGTGTTCTCCGTGACTCTACAGTACTCAAGCAAAGTATTAGATGTACTTGTAGGCTTCTCTGAAAGCATTAACAGCAACAATCACCCAAACTGTGGCAAACCCACTATGATTAAGCAGTCTATATGCGATAAAATCTTTGCATTCATAGGTTAACAAAATGTGCAGGAACTGCACACTGTGCAAGAACAGTCTCCAGAAACTGCCATTCTGAGGATCATCAGCTGATGATTTAACGGCAATAAAATGTTTCAAACACAAATATCCATGATACTGCTGCAGTGGATTTGTTTTATTTGCAGATAATTAGAGATGAGTAAGAAGGCACTTACCAACAGCAAAAGGACTGCTACTATCTACTTTAAATTCTTGCCAATTATTTTAAAGAGACATTTTACTAAAAGTTGGTTTTACCTTAACTTGTAAGCTAGCTGATGCAACTCTCCTCTCTAGATCTTCCACCTGCTGAAGAATAGCGAGATCCATCTCCATTGCTTGTTCTTCTACTGACCAGTTTTCCACAATATCTCGAGTTACCTGGTTATCTTCATTTTCATTGATATCAATAATTGCAACTGCGTTTGAGAATCACATTTTTATTATTTTAATTAGTATTATAAATTCTCTGAGTAAATTCAAGACGATTTACCTGTCACTCCCGTCAAATGTTGGAGAACTGTTGTAAAAGTGTACTACTCTTACGATATCCAATATGGACAATGAATTCTGTAGGTTTCCAAACTTGCAGTTTAAAGGCAAGAAGGGGAAGGAGAGGCTGAGCTAGAGTGTTACAGAGATGGAGAAAGCTTAAAATTATTACCAACACTTATGCCACTAGATCAATTTCTATTAAACGGGACTTCTCCAATCCTGTAACTTTCCAGAACAAGGCTGGCGAAAAGGCAGCTACAGAGAATGAGACTTTTACCTTTTTTCTCCAGCTGCTACTGCAACTCTGTATCTAAACAAATCTTAAAGACTTCTATGCCAGTTATCTTATGCCCCAACACTATGCATAACAAAAATATCAATTACATACCATCCTTATTTTTGATGCAGGCCAGAGTGATATAATCCATGTGTTTCTGTATTTGCTTCTGTAAGGCCTTTTCTCTTATTCCCCTGAGATGCAGCACTTTAAGCAAAGATTTTAGGTCCTCTGGATCAGTAATCCTCCACCACCCATACTGCATTTCTAGATCAAGACAAGCATATAAACACTTTGCAGGCATTTTTAATGTGGTCACACACAATCAGATTAATCACCTAGCCAAATTCAATACGCAAATTATATTAAAAAAATTGTAACTCGTAGTGGTACTGTAAAAAATTATCCTTCGCATAGTTCCATCTTATTGTTGGATTATACTTACCTTCTGGTATAGGTTTTGGGTTAGGATAATCTACTGGCTTGGATACTTCAACTGCTGTGGAAGGAGTAGGAGCTATTTTTTCAGTCTGTATTGCTGGTGATTCACTTTTAGTTGCAGGAACACTAGATGCTAAGTATGAGTTACCATTCACTTCTGATAATCCCAACCCTGATCCAAGAGCAGGTAAAGGAGATGAAAATGGAACACTTGAAGTAAGAACTCCTGTAGGCCATCCACAAAACTGAAGTCCCATTATAGGTAGTGCAGTCTTCATCTGCTACACAGAATATATTGTTAACACAATCACAACTACCATTATTAATTATTACCAAAAAACCTGAATTATAATTAGGATGCTATTTGTCAAACAACAATCAAAACATAAAGGAGGCCTTTACTCAGTACTTTTATTAGCTTAAGAAAAACTAGTGTAACACTAATGAGTAATACTCCTTATTAGGGCCCCGTTAATGCTTTAAAAGTAACAGCTTATAAAGGGAAGGTGTGGCGTGTCACATTTCTGACAACTAGTTTTTATTTACTTGTGTGCTTTTCGTTCTATACTAGTGGCTAACCTCCAAAAAGCCAATTTAAATTACTGAAATACAGGTACAAAATATCATACACTGGCTTACCTAATTTTACCTATCCATCTTTTTTATCAAAAAACGTATAGTATTATAAAACATCTGTAACACGGAATTAGTCATGAAAATTTAGAAACAGAAAAAAAAGAAATTAAGATATAATGGTAGCAATTCTATGAAATAATTTGTCTAAACAGAAATTCTGCCCCAAGTAAGGACAGCAACTTCAGACTATTCCAAAATTCATTTATTTTACCTGCAGTGGTGACAATGCAAAAGGACTTAATCCCATTGGACTCTGTGCAGAGGTTGAGCCCAGAAGAGGTGATGGAACAGGTGAAGGTGACTCTGATGGTGGATGTGATTGAGAAGTAAGCGAAGTTGTAGCAGCTGGTGTATCTATATGGGTAACTGACATGTCATCACAGGGTATTCTTGGTAAAAGGCTGAACCACTGTCTGCTCTTTTCAGTAAGAGTCTTTAACAACTGATCACTTGGAATTAGTGGAGAACTGTAAAACTTTCCTGTCCCACTTGCATTAGGACTGAAAAGACTGTTAGAATCAGACTTCTCAGCGGTGCTTTGTGATACAGTGGGCTGAAGACTGCAGAGAGAGTTTTTTGAGTTACTTGGATAAGATAATGTGCAGCCATTTGCTGTACTGCCATTAGATTTTGGGGACATAATGTCAGATTCAGGTGGCATTTTTGCTACTTCTAACAGTTTGCTTAGTTTTGAAAACGACCCAGGCTTTTGTAAAAACAAATTAGTGTTGTCCTTTTCTTTCAGATCTTCTTTTTGCTCACAGTGAGTTGTATTTAAACAGTGTAATTTTTCTTCTGTCTCAAATTCTTCTTCTTTGATATGCATGCCTTCTACCTTTTTTATCTTCTCTTTTTCTTTTGCAATTTCTTCTAGACCTAAAAACGTACCAGAAACATTGGTGAAATTTAACAGACCAACTAATTTAGACCGTATTTATCATTATAGTTAAATAAAAAATGACTTCATTTTTGGCTCAACACATGCTAGATTGCAGGCTTTTTTTTTTTTTTTTTAATTTAAATCACTTCTCACTTTACAGAACACTTTGCAGAAGGACACGCAGATTTAAGCCCTGCTAAAATCCAAGAGGAAAAATAATCTCAATGCAGTTAACATAGCTGTAGTATTCTCCCTTAAGATGCATGTATGTCTGCAGCAGTCTGCCAGTGCAAAGTCGTTGAAAGGGACAACTTTTTTGGCAGCTTTCTTTTTGCAAGTCTCTCCATGCTTTATTGAAAAACTCCTCTATTTAATGAGGAGGGTACAATGTTTATAGCCTTAAAGCTTGTTTTTGCAAAAGACCATTTCATTAAACTCACAGCCAACCACAAAAAGGAGCACCAAAATTCCTGTTGTCAAATCAAGTCTATCCCCAAACACTGAAGCACAGCATTAAACATTTTACCTCTTTCAAAAAAACGCATTAACAACTTTGTGAAACAATGTCAACATTCTTGAAAGTTTAAAACTCTTCCAAGAGCCACCCAACATGATGACTGGGACTCTACACACAGCTAAGCAGACAGATGCGATCGGACAGCATAACTTCTAAGCAATTTAAAGTACAACAAGCAGAAGTTGATTGCAAAAGCCTATTTCTTCAAACAGATGAGGTTCATCTTCTGTGAAAAGGAAAAAACATTTTTCTGTTTTCTGCACTCTCCTAGTCTTTCTTAGCGATTTCTCTTCTACCTTTATACTGATGTGTCAACTTAGACTAAAGTCTTAAAAAGTGTAAAGTAGGATGGAAAAATGTCAGGAAAAGCGAGAGGAGGTAGAGAATCCAACATCCTAACTTCTTAAAATATTTTCATCAGATACTGCAATCACAAATAAACAAAGGTCCTGCTTACAGTTTATGGCCAGAACATCCACAGAAGTTTACTTGCTCATTTTGGAAAATCGTAATTTCTACAAAGATAATTCATTAAAGAATATCCCCTTCCATTAACACTTCAAAACGTGTCCACAGTTATGTATGTGAAGATATAAACAATTCGAGTATCAGCATAAAACCCAAAATGACTACATGAAGAGGGAAGTAGATATATTTTTTAAATGGACAGATCATTCAACAGTTTATGTCTCACATTTCCAATGTTTAGATAAAGGAATTAGGAGTGGATAAACTGTAGAATTTACTGAAACAAGGCAAACAAACAGCTGAGGGGAACAGGGAGTAGTTGGGAACTTAAGATCTTGTCCATTTTGCTATTCAGGGAGATTAAACTTTCATTAAGACAATGCATTAAAAAATATGGGTTTGCCCTATAGTTCTTGGCTAAAAATTTTGTGTGGGTATTTTTTTTGTTCCGTTGTTTTTACTATCTTAAGACAGGTAAGTTTATTTCAATGATTTTCTTTGTGTACAATTTCCGAAGCATTTGGGGATTAATTTGCTTAAAATATAATAAATAAAATACAGTGAACAAAAGGAATGCAAGCAGTACAGCATACAACAGTTTACCTTCTGTATCCACCTACTCATGTGCAAAACAGTTCCTAACATACAGAATAAAATAACGCAGAGCAGGAGACCCAGAATAATTATTTTTTACGCTACCACTTTTAGAAAGATAACTTGTAGATCAAGATTAAAGACAAATTCTACAGCTTATTTTTGGGGCCATAACAGGTCTCAGATTTCATACCATGCTGTAATGTTACAGTTATTTTAATTAAATAGCTCTCTAGAATGATGCAATTCTCATGAGATCATGCAATTCTGATGTGTATCAGATATTTTTTTGTTATTTCTGGGGGGGAAATTGTAGGGGAGTTTTGTTTCATCTGTATCAGAATTAGAAAGGATTTTTTTTGTGACCAAAATGAAGGCTTATGTTTAAAAACTCTAATATCCACCAAAAGATCAGATTAATACATATTTTCTGCATCTATCCAATTTAAAGCGTGTGCAGTCATAGTTAGTATACAACTGTCACAACCACAAAATTACATTTTAGCAAAAATAACTTCAGCATTTGCTGGATTGGAAGAAAGACCAGTTCGTAAAATAGAGAGACTAAATCATACTGTTTATTAGAAAATAAGGTACTTCATTGTGTGAAAATAATTTTCCTATTCTTGCAGACATACATCAGATTTCAAGCACAGAACAGTCTGTGTATTTGCACAAAACTTAACAACTAAAGATGAGAAGAATTCTTTTTGCATTCTTTGGTTATCCTAGTTTTCACATGCAAAGTTCACTGCCGTTAAGGAAACGTGAAATAGTTCAGGAAGAGCCAAAAAGTATCCAAAGTAGACAAATATGAAAAAGCATTAACATAGAGAACTATAATAACTGAAAACTTCCAAAATATTAACCCTTATTTTGAAAGATACTAACCAGTATTTCATAATTGGAAAGAGAGTATCAGAGAGCACCGTATGAATAAAGCGGTCTACTGACAGTAGCCTGTTTAGCCTCTGGTTGAAGATGAAGCCCAAAGACCTTGCTGCACAAAATCACAGCCTACAGAGATGGGCAATACATCTTGGCATAGTATGCCCTGGTGTGACATTATTCATTTATGTTTCTTACCTTCACCACTTTCCATGCCTTCTACAAAAACACCACCACACTGGGGCAGAATCCAGTATCGGCGTCTGTAACGATCTTGACCAAACATCATTGAACGCAAACAATGTGAAGCTTCAAATAACTTCTTTCTGTACTGGCTTTGTTGCTGTTTTAAAAAATGGGAAAGCATTATAACGGAGGGAAGGTGGGGGAATCTTTGTAACAGAAAACATCTACTGGCTGCCAGACTGCCCAGAAGTTCTAGGGTCACATGAGGAGGCTCTCTTAGATTGTGTGTGTATGTTATGTGATATTCCACTCACTATTGCTGCCTTGATGGTTTTACTTACAGAGCTCCCTTTAAAAAAATCAATTCAATCACTTCCTGGTTCAGCCTAAGTTTATCAGTCTTCCTTTAAAAACACATTTTGGATGTCTTTTAAACACTGACTCTCAGAGAACAACAGGATCAAAGATTTCGTTGCACAAGAACAGCTCAAACCCTATCAATTATAAAATAATGGCACATGGTGAAGATAGCTGATACTGCAGCTCCTGATGGGAAACTAATGAGATATTTTAACTGGTTCATAAAAGAATAAGAACAATAATGTCTGAAAATAAATTCTGTACTCAAACACAAACAGCACTCTGAGGGGGGCCACGAACAATTTCAGTCTGTTTATTCAATTCTTGCCCTGCTAAGCTAACACTGCTGGAAGTCAGGTGTAACTCTGGACTGCTAATTTATTGCAATTTGGAACAGGAGAGAAACCAAGCAACAAAGTCTAAAATGAAAAATTTTCTAATATGAAGAATAAAAACATGCGCCCCTATTTGCAGCATTCTATCTTTCTCATTTACATTTCTCTTCCATTGCTTCCTTCTTTCACAATCTGAAGCAAAGACAGTTCTCTCTATTGGCTTGGAACACAGCTGCAGAAAGTAGCCAACTGCAGGAGGAAAAGAACTGCAATCATTTGTATAATACACAAAATTTATCATCACTTTCAAAGATCAACAAACAGAAGTGTATCAATTAGGTCTGCATAAAAATTACATTACTTTTTATTGTAAGATCTGCAAACACACTATCAACAGTTTTCTAACTGTCTTTTGAGCCATATCCTCTTAGTGTCGCTAGACTAAACTCACAATTCAGGTGTCATGCACAGCAGCGTCACTCATATTTTCGTGAAACAAAAGCTGATCCTTATTTCAATTTATATTAAGTTGGAGCATTGAAAGTGATGGTTAACATTCTAACTCATGACATCCAGTGATCAAGTTTGTAGAGTAACAAAGACATATGACCTCTCACCTTTGTCAGTTTTTCAATCTGCTTCTCTAGTTCTTCAACACTTGCTGCCTGGTCCCCATCATCCTATAATCACCAAATATACTGTCACGCCAAGTTTATTTCAGGATAAAACCATACTACCATGTTTTACTAATATTACAATAAAAAGATGTAACAAACAGAAAATGAGAGGCAAATTCTAAGGGTAAAAAGTTCAAATTTTGTGTTTGTTCAATGTATTTGACTAGGAACAATGTAACTAGAAAAAGATGTATCTTGAATCTATCCAAACCGACCCAAATGCATACGAAGGAAAAAGCTTGTGGCCAGACGTTTGCTGGAAACATTGTTTTACTGGAATAAATAATTCAGTTTGTGCATGAACACTTAAGACTACAGAATCTAATCTTAGTTTCTATGAAGCTTTTTGGATATTCAGATTCATTTCTAAGTATTTTTCATACATGAAGTAATGGAATCTGTCAAAATCTTATCAATCAGTCTTTGGTCAATGCACACTTGCATTTTATTTCACTGTCTACAAGAAACCGTAGAGCCACTTTAAATTACAAGTCTGCTATAAAAGTTCCAGGATTAATCTTGCTGATTTTTGAAGAGGAATGCACCCACGATTAAGTCTGTGGCTCCCTTCTTCTTGACACAGTTTAAAAATTAGAGTCATTTCCATAAAGAGAGTTTTAATTTAGTTCAAGAAAGTCTTTGGGTAACAGTAAGTTTCCAAAAGAATACAGCCAGAATCCTAGGAGCTCCCAATCACCTGCACCATGAAATGCTGGTCTTGTATTTCTGGGCTTTGTATAAGTGTACCGGAGTGAAGCCTTCTGAAATATCACATATAGCAAGAATGCAATGGAGATTCTGTTATATCAGAAAATTAACTTCTCAACAGGAGTTACAGGACTTCTGTTTATGAAGTGCCCAGTGCACCAAAATTAGGAATTTGTAATAAAGGGAAAAATATGAAAGGATGGGTGTGAAGTTAGATACCTAAATATTACTTATTTTTAATTCTGAAGTATTAATTTTTAAGAACTTTGTGCTATGCCTCTAAGGTATTCTCTTAAATTCATACACATTCTAGTATTTCAAATAAATCCAGAATAACAGCACACAGGGCTGTTCCTACCCTAGAAACTACTTGGGTTTCTAATGAAGAGAGTTTGCAAAGATCTGAGTTCACATAGCATGTTGCATACATGCATTGTTCAAGCGGCCAGATCCACAACACCCATAAAATCACACTTTGAACTTCGATAACCTTGCATAAATGGATCATTTTCTGGAAAACAGGGCAACACCCAGTGTGCTAAAACAGAGCATTCAGTATTGCTTGTCTCTCTTACCAGGTTTCATCCAGCAGAAAATTCTAGAATTCTACAGTGAATCTTACAGGCCTGTACTGCCTCTATTAAAAAGTCTTTTTACTATTGTAGATACAATTCAGCTCAACAACCTAAAAAAAGTGTTTCAGTGATCCTTCTTGTATATTACCTGCTATTGAATATTTATGAACAAAATACACAGGAAGGTCACAGGCAAGCTTTATAATAGGTAATGTCAAATACAACTTCATCCTTCTTTATGATTTTGTTAACTAATAAATGACCTTTGTTCTCCTCTAAGAGAAAACTAGTTATGCTTATTTGCTAACAATGCTGCAGTTCTCTGGATCTGGTACAATCTTTCAGTATCAGAGAAATTAAGACCAAGTTAAAACAAGTAAGCAGGGGGAAAAAAAAACACCCCCAAAACAGACCAAGCAAAAAAAACCCCAAACCCCTCACCAACTCATACTATAATAGCTATCAAAACAAGAAAAAAACACTCTACAAAATAAACTTATTCCAAAAATTTTAAAAATATTGGAGGTAAGTTATTCTTCCTTCCTTTTTGTTGTGAGATTTTCGCAAAGCAGTGCCATATTGCAAAGAAACAGAAGGAAAACAAAATTTAACTTATTAGTTTATGAAGTTTCACTACACTTAAAATCCCCCACCTCATCCTCACAAACTTCTGCCTTCTTTCCTTTTTTATCTTCTTTGTCCTCTTCATCCTCATCATCCTCATCTGCCTGATCATCACTGTCGTCATCGTCATCATCATCGTAATCACTGTCCCCCCCCTTCCGTCTGCGTTTGCGGCCTGGTGTTGGTGTTTCTAAGGAGTGCTGTTCCTCTCCCACGTCACCACCTCCTGTAGTATCTCTTTTACCAGTTTTCTTGGCATGAATGATTCTCAGCCTTGAAACACATAACAAGGGGTGAAATTATGGAGCATGCCTGTAGCATAAACATACCTTTCTTCCTACGTGACTGGAAGTAAATAATACATTTTAGATTCAAATTAGCTCTTCTGTTCTAACACGACATTGTATTTTCTCAATATTTCTTTCCAGTAGTCAACAAGAAAAATTCGGGTTATAAAACCCCTTAAGCCTCTTACTCAGTTCTGAATAGAATTTCTGTTTCTCCAAAATCCTCAGCTGGAAGTACGAAATTATTTACATTTACATGGCAACGGCAATGTTGGTTTAAAATAGATTTTTTTTTTATTTCAGAATTTTATGCATTTTTAATTTATCATATATTATTTTACCTTAGTCCTTTGATTGATGTTTTTATTCTAGGACACACTTTTCTGAGAAATCTTAGCTACCTAAACTACTAGGAGATTACCCAATCAAACTCTCATTTTTCCTTTTATGAAAGAAAAGGGAAACTTACATACCAGTAATTATGGTTGTAGTAGACCTCCTTCTTCTATAAAAACCCTATAAGACAAGATTCCACACAGCAAAAATTATAGTTCCACCTATCAGGGAACTAGCAGGCAAACATGCTGAATCACAGGAGGTATAAATAGCCAGGCCTAACCAGTCACTTATAATGCAGAACCAAAACGCAACTGACTTAGAAGAGATTCATAAACGTGTAGAAAAGACAAAGATTTTGTAAGAGATGACTGGAAGAAGGGAGGATGGGAAAAGTAGAACGGTAACGACAAACACAATTACCAGTATGTAATTTTTCCTTGTCGTACTTCTCTCTCTTCCCATCCTACAAAACAATATTCCATACAGCAAGTGGCTACAAATATGATGAGTGTTGCAGAAGTACTGCCTTCTGGGCATACTGACAAACGTCCCAGCCTTTTAAAATGCTGATAAAAGAAAGCCAGTACTCAACAGCACAGATTTAAATGAAGCTGTCACTGCTCAATTCCTAGCAGTGCTTTTTAAAAAGACTGTTAGCAAGAAATCATCAAGGGGACTTCTGCTGGCTTGAAAACAGCTGGGCTTTCGGGTTTTTCTGTTTTTTTGTTTTTGGTTTTTTTAAAATGCAGTGGTTTATCCACTGGAGAACTCAAAGTTCTGCACTTTTGTTTTTCCAATACAAATGGATTTTTAGCTATTTTAGCCATTTAAGATATTTTTTGGTAAAAAAAAATTTCTCAAACCTTCCAGTAAATTTGGAAGCAAGTAACATTTTCAGGTCTGGTGCAGAAAGCCTTAGTCTAACTGAGTATCAATACTACTCAGGCTTCCGCTAAGTTTTTAAAAAAAAAATATTTCGTTTTTACAAGGATAACTTCAAACTATCAAATCCTCTTCACCTGGACTGGAAATTGCTGCCTATACATAAGCATTAGCTATCAAACAAAGCCACTAGTCAATGACTGGATTGACTGCTGCATGATGGGACAATTTTAGAGACAAGTTAGACTCAGATAATCTTTAAGACAATTCAATAAGAAACCTGGCAGGTTGAAGTCAACGACCAAACACATCCTTCACATACCTGAAAGAAATGAGAAGCAGCAAAAAAGGCTACACTATCTGAAAGCAAAAACTGAGATACAATGCTGTCACGCACTAAAGGAAGCCTGCATGACACTAAAAATTATAAGGATGGAAATAAATCAAAGTTGCTCTCTCTTAATAGTCCCATAAGCATAAGAAGGCAGCAGTCTCTATCTGAGGTAGCGCAAAGGCAGAAACCAATGAAAGCATAATTTTTAAAATGTCCCGGTATTTTAAGAGGCAGCATAATTTTCCTGCTGCTACCTAGACATACAGCTCACTCAGAGAAGAAAACCTTCATTCAGAAAACTGATTTATCTTTCTTACTTTCAGGTATATACCAAAATGATATCTCCAACTGCTGAGAGAATTATAGTCTATTGGCCTATAAAAAGTGTGGGTGGCCCACCAGATAATCAGATGTGTGACTTAAGCCTCCTCTAATCTCATCTGTAATGTTTACAAGATCATAGAAGGAAAATTCACCTTTCAACTTAATTTTCATGCCTTCCTCCTAATTTTTGCACACAAATATTAAGTAACAACAAGGCAAAGAAATTCTAAACATCACACTTCTAACATATTTCAGCTTGGGTCTCAAAAAATGAAAGTTTCCCAAATCAGCACTACCACGTCCTACCCAAACTCAGGGTGTAATTTCTCCCTCATGTAACACTGCTTTTCACATACCATCATCATTTACGGCAGAGATTGCCTCACTGGAAAGAAATGAGCTTACAAGAAGTATGCCGTAATACCGGCATGTTAAAGAGAACACTGTTGCAGTGCAAAAACTTGTTCTGCAGTATTTAAAGTCTTGTAAAGAAACAGATATTACCTAATCCTTCAAGTAGCTATATTTCATTTTTATTCCCTTTTATATTGATCAAGCTACAAAAGAGATGCAGGGAGAAGACGTGTAATGGAAAAGGAGACACTGAGATTATGATTATCTCATTAAAAAAGTAGCTGAATCATCTCAGGTGAGACAGTCTTCTGACTATAGTTGTGATACAGAAAGCACAAAGAAAGATTAATTGATTGTATGAGACAGATGCCTTTATAAAAACGGTAGTTAGTATCAAGATTCACATCTAAATGTGATAGAGAAGGAATTAGATGCAACCTCTCTCTGACCATTAGCCCAGCAGAAACAGTCCAGGCAGCTCAGAATTCAGTTTCCAACCATATATATTACACTTATCAAGGAATTTTGTTAAATATCTTTAAGGGGGGTAGGGGAGCTTTTATACAATGATTCCTTTTTCCAACCTGGGATTCTAATGTCACTTTTTTGTATCCTACAAACATAGGTTTCCTCTTTTTTTTGCCCCCCTCCTCCCAATATCCAGTTGAGGAGCTAATCTCATAAAAAGTGAGAATGTAAGCACAAAAAAAATTTACTTTGTGAAAACATCCAATACAGGTAGAATCTTTTTTCATCCCCCTTGGATATCCTTCAAGACAGTCTGAACATAGTGGTATGAAGATCTACCACAACAAACACTGGCAAACCAGGCTGAGATGAAGTAAACCCATTCCTCAGCATCCATTATTCTACCACTATTCGCTTCCCACGCATGATGGGCTTGTGCTGAGGGTCATGTAAAGGTCTGTAGGCACAGAAAAGAGTACACGTCCACAGATCACATGGCGCGTAGTCAAGAAACCAGGTATTCCTATGCAAAACTGCTTGGGACTGGGATGGTTATAAACTAGACTGACCTTTGAAATGGATGGAGACGATAACATGCATAAGAATGAAGGGTGGAAGCAGAAAAAAAGACCAAACAGAAAACTGAAATGGATACATCTCTTCTCAGAGAAGCCCCAGAACAGTTGTAAGAGTTTATGAAAAACACCAACTGACATAATAAAGGAGAAAACATTGTTTAAAGATGATCAAAGAAGGCTCTTCTAAAAAGCTTCTTACAGTTCATCGGAAAAACAGTAGAAAATCCATTGATTCTGAACCAAAGATGAGAGAGATGAATCAAGTCCAGGCAATTCAAAGAAGCAGAAGAGCAACGTTTCTGAGCACTCCCGTGATACTTACACGCGAAAATAGGGACAGCACTACTGGAACCTGAAATCCACACATGAGGGGAAAACAAAAGACTGAGAAATGATTGTAGAAAGGAAGAGGGGCTTGGGACTTCACGGTATTATGCCCACTATTTGAAAGGGAAGAAAAGAGAGATCATGAGGAAAAGGGAGGATCCTACACCTACAAGTACTTACAGTTTGATGGAGGGAGAGAAAGACTAAGCAGTCCCTAAGGAGACAAAGACAGGTAAGGGTCCCATTCCACTAATGGACACCTGGCTACCTCAGAACTTCAGAAACACTTTTTAAACTACATCCCACTGAAGGGACACAGATGGAGACAAGAAAAGGTATTTGGATTGTCCTAAAAGAGAAAATATATTAACCCTGTGCAGACTGGGATCTGCAGTATTAGTAGAGAATTTCTTTTAACTGGTCTAGTTTTTTCCTCTACCTCCCTCTTGTCCTTCTTCTTTACTTCTTTCCTTCTTCCTTCTGAGATACATTAAAGGGAAAAAAGGGAGACATAGGATTAGAAACACAAGTACCTAAAGCAAGGACTAAGAAAGGATTCACCATTCCTAGTAAGATGTAAGATGACAAAGGAAAAAAAGAAAGCAGAGTCTGGCTATTTGTTTTTACCCCCTGTGATTCACGAACTTTATGCCTTCTAGCTTCCTGGTAGTTGGAGCCGTTATGCTTGCTGTATGGAATTTTGTCTTGTAGAATGGGAGAACAGTGGATATGAAACTGACAACCCTTTAAAAGTTCCAATTTTACCTTAAATAAAAATGTAAAAAAAACCTCAAAGTTAGCATTCTACATATGATCCCTAGCTATAGTGAAAAACGCAACATTGAGAGACAGGAAACACTAAGATAACATAATGCAAATTAGCAACATTCAATTGGTAATTGTTGTATGAATATCACGTCTTCTTAAAATGCCTTTCAGAATGAACACTGGTAATTACAGTAGGTCCAAATAAACTCTGATAATGTCAATAGTGATTTGAAAGCTCCAGTAACATTCTAATAAATTTTTTTTTTACTTTCTTCCAAGGAATACAAGATGGACTTGCCTTTGTTCCAATTTTGAGGGACACTAACCGTCTGAATCTCATGCATCTTTAATAGATTGTGAAAGACTGGTGCTGTGCCATTCTAAATCCACATCCATCTTAATTAAGCAGTTCAGTTACAACCTTCTTGGTAAACCTGAAATTGCATCAGCTAATTTTGTCCTTAGAATCAACTACCTATTATAGCAGCATATCTGAGCAAACGCAAAAAAAGCAATATATTGTAATATTTAAGGAAATGAAACTTACTTCCGAAGTTTGCCTTCAACCATCCATTTATCTCTCCTTAAGTTTGACATATAATCAATGTTTTTATCAATTTCACTGTCAAAGATAAAATAATCCATTAACTGTGAACTTATGTATCTTTTTCTGACAAACATTTACGTACTGATACTTTGTCTCAAAGAACTATCTTGGAGAAATGTTTAAAATTCAAAGTAAATAATTTTAAAGCTAATTCCAACACTAGGAATGCAGACGTAGCATACTGCTGTACCTACATCGGGCAGCCTTTATTTGCAGTATCACATAAGCTTTCCTTCCACAAGAAGCATGCCATTCAAAGAATCTGACGTTTCTTTTCATAGTTCTAATTCAGTGCCAAGCCTCCAGACGTATTTGCGACAAGGTATCTAGCCCTGTGCTGAAAACAGTTATCGCTGGCACATCTACAGTATCCTAACTAGGATCCATGTGGCTACAAACTAATGTTCACTTTTCACTGCAGAAACTGAAGAACCAAAAAAAGTGCTTCAGTACAGCGACTAACTGAGAGCCCACTTCTGAGACATCCCAGCCTCAACAATTTCGCAGGTTATAGTTCTTTCTGTGACAGAAATATAGAAACTCAAGTTCTGAATGATCATTTCTACAAATCTGACATAACAGTTTGTCATCTGCAATAAGATAAACTTTCTTGCTATGATGATTTAATAACATATGAACTGTCCTGCACAGTACACGCACAGCACTCGCACTGCTGACTTCTGCTGTCTTTCAACTTTGGAAAACATCAAGCATCTCTTTCATTCTTGCCTTATACAACCTTGATTTACTTTTGCAGAAGAGCACAGCAAAAGCAGCAGAATTCACCAGGAAACAAAACGGTACTCAACTACGTGATAAAAGACTTTACCACAGTATGTAGGTACACAGAGGTACAGGTATCCCAAAGACTGGTAATTTCTAAGTTTTTATTGCACGTGGGGGGGGGGGGGAAATTAATTATGAAATGCTACACATTACTGACTACAACTGAAGTGCACACTTTCTTGAATTACTACCATGATAAATCAGGCTTCCCACCTCTTATGACTCTAGTTAAAGTATTTGGACAGAAGAGGTCTTAAGAAACAAAAGGAAAAAAGGGAAAAGAGTACTGCAGAAGCTTTATACAACCCTTCTAAATTATACCCTAGAATACCTAGTAAACTTCTTTGTAATAAAACTCATCTTTTATTCTGCAAACAGCTGGAGAAATTCTGATGCAAGCTTTGAAAACAAATTTAACAGACAAAACATGGAGAAGTTCTGCTCTTCCATCATATCAGAAGTACATAAAGGTAAGAAGAACTAACATCGCAAATTTTAGCTTTAATTATAAGAACCAAGAATCCCCCCTGTAACAGAACACAGTGTATACAGTATTTCTGAACTATAACTTTTTTATAATTTTATTTTTACAGACCTGTTTGGGAAAAAAATCTTACCTTACTACACTTTTGCTGCATGCTAACTCATTGACAAGAAAAGCAAGTACTGATGCCTTCTGAGATGGAGTATGTGCCTGAAAAGCTTTTGTCTTCAAGCTCTCTGTCAGCTCAGTTTGCCCACAGTGAGCCTCCATGAACATATGCAGAATCTCAGACACATTATCTCGATTGATACCAACATTCAGTAAGTGTTCCCCAAGAATAGTTTTAGCCTAAAAAGAATAAAGACGTTTCAAACAATCACATTTAAAAATATTTTCCTCTGCAGGCTGTATTACTGTTCATGAGACAGCGGGGTGGGTTTGTTTGCATTTTTACATTAAGAACTTTAATCGAAATTTTTCTTTAAAACTATTCAAATTTAAATCTTGAATAGAGTAACAAATTACACCTTCACCTCAAAGTTTTTAAGAGCAGAGATTAACATTAATGAAATAGGTTAAATGAAAAAAGACATGGTCCAACTGGAACTTGATGAATACTGTTTTGTACAACCATGCTATGCACAGTTCCACTGTGGGACCCTGCAAGAGGTCCAAGAAAAAACGGGGAGGGTAAAGCAAATGCCCAGAAATGTATCACCTCTGGAAAATGGGAAGGTTAACAGGGCACAAAGTCTTTGAGTAACATTACAACAGTGACACCGAAGGGAAGAATTAGGAAAGACAACGGAAATCCAAATCAGACAGGCCTCAAAGACATGTTATGAAGAGTGCATTCATAAAAATACAGGGCATTTACTATGGATTTTTTTTTACCTTGTATCCTGTAACAAGTCCTGGATCACAAACAGCTGCAGAGACAAGCTTTACAAGCAAGTCTTGTACTTCTCCCATGCTGTCCCCTACGTTTAGCAAACCCTCTTGAAGAACGCTCAGGGAAGGGACATCCACATTCACATCAAAGCCAAGAACTTTACCGAAGTTACGCAGGAACTGCACTACCATGAGACAATCTGAAAAAGTGCTTCCATTGAGAACAAGGCCTGGGATGCGAGGCAACTCTGGCAAAGGCTGGAAAGTAAAGAAAAACAATGAAAGATCCAGTAGTATATTTCAAAAAAAAACAAAACACTTTTTTGATACTAGCTAGGGAAACCAGCTGATACTTCCATACGACCTAGAGCATGACAATGCTAGAAGGTAAAGGCTATAGAGAAACTGCCCCCCGCCCATCCAGTAAATGTAATCTAAAGGTGAAGCACATTTACCTTTTCACGTATTATAGGAGACAAGAGATTAATAAATACATTTTGGCCAGAAGATGCCCTCAGGCTCTGTTCTGAGCCAAAACACTATAAAAAGTAGTGTAAAAATATTTGGGGGACATAGGAAGGGGAATTCTCTCGAACAGAGAGGGCTTGAACCTGAGGCATGTCAAGTCCTGCAGGACAAGAACTAAGAACACAGAAGACTGGGAGAGTGATTTTTTTGAGTAACAGCTTAGAACAGTTGCACATATGAGAAGAGCTCTATCCAGTGTCTATGTAGCGACACATGATGCCTACTCCTGCTGTAAAAATGACTAAGAGTAATCAACTTTTTTTTGAAACAATCATGCAAGTACTTTTTGGGAAGCAGGCCACTTTTAAACAAAATGCTTTTAATTGACTAAACATATGCTACTTTAGTGTTTGTAGTATCTTGTATTTGTATATATTTCAAATAGTTATCTAATTATCTAGACCAAAACTTGAATGCTTTGGAAGTGGCTGCAAGAAAAAAAGTTATTGCCACAATGGCAAAATACAGAAAGAAGAGGCAAGAAAATATTACCTTCTGGTCTGCTAAGCACATATCTTCATTAGGCTTCTTTAGCTCCTTTGCCATTTCTAATTCCAATCTTCGCTGTTCCAGTTTACGTTCTTTATTTAATCTTTTTTCATCTCGTTTTTCTTGCTTCAATCGCTCTTTTTCCTTAAGTAGAATTAAAAGGGCAGAAAATAAAACCCATGTATTATACTTACAATGGAACAATTTAAGAATTTGAAAAGCACAACTCCCAGAATCTTTAATAATTACCACAGCAGTTAAGGAATCTGCATTCAAGTAAAGGGAAGGGGGAAACTACAGAAGTAGACCAAAATAACTAAATTTGTGAGCAAATCTAAGACTCACTTTTCTTCTCTCCTGTCCACATGGAAATGGGTATTGAGTATGTTTACACTCAAAGGTTCTTTGGACTACCATTTCAGAAAGACGACTGAGTGAAAATACGGTAAAGGACTGCCATACATGCAAGGCTTCTGATTTTAAAGGCCCCACTTACACACTAGTATCATCAATATGCATCTGCTAAAGCAGACACCACTCGAGAAAGCAGTAGTTGGAAGACCTCTCAGGACAACAGACAGTTTAAAAATTCCCTTAATACATAAACTAGATATGAATAGCTTATAAAATACAACGGATCTTTTCAACACATGTAGCTTCTGGCCTTGAATTACCATGCACTTAGCATGCAACCTGAAAACTGAACAGTCATTAATATCTTTTTCTGTAAAAGAAGAACACAGGGATAATCCAGGGAGAAGCCAAGCATCTCTTATTTTTCTCTTCCAACACTCTCTACATCGGTATCACAAGGAATACTATACTAACTACACCTCCCTAACCTGCTAGAACTGACTCCGAATTTGGGGCTCTGATTGCCTTTCCCATCCCCAACTCCAGGGGTTCTGCTGTCACATGCCCAGCGTTGATATGCTGGCCTGCCTACACAATTCACTCCATACCTCTGTGCAACTGATACCGAATGCAGAATATTGAGTAATAAACCAGGTACGGAATACGCCATGTATCAGTGCTGCTTCTTTAGATCACAGAACTGCATGCGTATACACAAACACGCATTGTGTGTGTGTTTGTCACGACCCAAGAACCCGATACAATATAAAGGTGAAGACACTATACATCCTTTTCACCCGAGACACAGAAGGGCTAAAGAACCAAGCTAAGCTGTTTGTATCATTCAGAATCACTCCCCGTTATTCTGTCAGTTTGAGAGGTCACTCTAATCTCTTCAGTTTACTACTACCTGTAAGTCAGGACTTTGCTGCATTCGTAGAACGGCACAAATGTACAGTGCTGCCATGACTTTTTATTCTTTCTTTTGAGTCTATACTGAGTATTACTAGACCACTGGTGATAACTGTGGCTCAACACTATGACTGCACAGAGCAGCTGATACTGACCTCTGCTACTAGAGTCTTTAGTAGATTTTAGGCAAGATAGAGTTTGGAGTCGGACACAAAGAACATGTTTGGACCAGCAGTCTTACATTGGCAGAAGAAAAGCAGCCACGTACAGAACTACCTGTCTGCCTAACTGCTGCTTTGCGGCTGCCTAAGCTTCCTCTGTATTGACAACACAGGCCCTCATAACTGTGATGATTTCCTAAGGGGCATGCTGCTTACTCATGGTTTTCTCCCTTTACCAGCATACCTCGTGTGGAAAAATCACAATACGCTAAAGCAACATGCAAAATCAGTAAGTTTATTTTAAAATGCAAAATGCTCCCTGACTTGTTTTTTTAAATGGTTCATTGCCTTTTATCTTAACATATGTCAAGATCTCAAAGCCAACTGATATTTCCTACAACTTGCTTTTCGCAACTACAAACACTCTGCGTCAGAAGAAAACAGAGAAGTACATATGGATATTTAAGTGGCAACATTAATCTGCAGTTATAATTAGAAATGCGAACCTTAACCATGGTAAGTTTCATGAATGTATTTAGAGATTACTTTTCCTGGCTGCACTAAATATTTACTACTCTATTTCTATTAGAGTAAGAATATATATATAACACTACAGCACTGTATCAGACTATAGAACCATTTAGCCTGGCATCCTGATTTCCAACATGGATCACGTGCTTAGGGAATCAGCTCCCTCTACTCAGTCCCAGGCAGAGAATCTGGCATTTGGTCTTGTTCAAGTTCATACGGTTGGGGATTGCCCAGCTCTCGCGTCTCTCCATATCTCTCTGTAAGGACTCTCTACCCTCTAGGGAGTCCACAGCTCCTCTGAGTTCAGTACTGTCGGCAACCTCACTTAATGTACATTTGACTCCTGCATTCAGATCATTTATAAAAACATTAAAGGGCACTGACCCTAAAATTGAGCCCTAGGAACCCCACAGGTGACTGGCCACCAGCCTGATGTGACCCCATCCATTAAAACTCTTTGAGCCTGACCCGTCAGCCAGTTGTTCACCCAACGCACTACGCGCTTGTCTAGCTGGACGCTGGACACATTGTCCAGAAGGATACTGTGGGAGAGTATCAAAAGCTTTGCTAAAATTAAAAAAAAAACACATCTACTGGCTTCCCTTAGTCAACTAGATGGGTGACCTTGTCATAAAAGGAAATTAAGTTACTTAAGCAGGTCTTTCCCCTCATGACCAATGACTGCCTTGTCTCTGAAGTGCTTTTCAGCAAGTCCCAGAATAATCTTCTCCATAATTTTACCAGGAACCGAAGTGAGACTGACAGGCTTGTAATGACCAGCATCTTCCTCCTTTCCCTTCTCGAAAACTGGTACAACATTTGCCTGCCAGCTCCCAGTTGACTGAGAACTCTCCACATTCCCCAAACCACTGAAAAACAAAGGAGAGAAGTCCTGCCATAACATCAGCCAGCCCTCTGAGCACCCCGGGATAAATCCCATCAGGCCCATAGCCTTATGCGCATCCAGCTGGAACAGTAAGTCTCCAATATGCTCGGAGTTGGATGGGAATTTATCACCCCCCCAGTCACGGTCTTCCAGCACAGGGCTCCGGGTGTCCCAGCACCCACCATCAGCATTAAAGACCAAGGCAAAGAAGCATTAAATGTCTCTGCTTTTTCTGTGTCCCTACTTGTGAGGTGACCAACCCCATCAAATAATGAACCAATGTTATCTCTGATCCTCCTTTTGCTTTTAACATATTTTAAAAAGCCTTTTTTGTTGTCCTTCACAGTACTAACCAGCCTGGATTCTAATCAAGCTTTGTCTGCATGAATTTTCTCCCTACAGTGGCAAACAGCATCCCAAGTCCTCCCATGTTACCTGTCCTTGCCTCCAACATCCATACACTTTCCTTTCCTGCCTAAGTTCTACAAGAAGATCCCTGCTCAGCCACGTCAGCCTTCTGCCCCGCTTGCATGACTTCCCACACTTTGGAATTGCCTGCTCCTGCACTCTTGAAAAGCGACTAGCATTCATGGACCCCAGTACCTTCAAAGGCAGATCCCCAGAGGACCCTACTACCCAGCTCCTTCAGCGGCCCGAAGCCTGCTCTCCCCATCTCCAGGCCAAAGTTTTCCTGGCGGTTCTTCTCCCATTGCCAACAATTTGAAACAACTGCTTAGTGGTCACTGTGACTGTGACAGCCACCAATCACCACTGCGCCGACGAGTTCCCCTCTGTTTACAAACAACAAATGTAGGAGCACTCCGTTCCTAGTCAACTTAAGAGTTAACCCTGAAATTCTTCTTTGCGCTGAACAAGTATTTAACTTTGTTTTGGTCTGTCACTTTCATTTAATTATGAACACATCTAGGAAAAAAGTTTTAACAATTTCCTTGACAACTAGATGCTATAACAATGGTTGTTTTACTTCAATCTCTTAGCTATCTGTACTTTAGGTAAGTGTCAGGATGCAGAGATAAAAAAAGTCTCAGGACACAGAGAAATGTATAAAAAGCAGAATTCTAAAAGTTAGCAAATATGTTTTAGCACTGATAGTTCCCTTTAAGATAGTATCAGAAAACTGAAGGCAGCCTCAGGATTAATTAAGATGTAAATTAGTTTATCACTGTCTAATAAAAGTTTCATCAATCATACTGTAAAGTTCTGGTTTTATCATCAATGCTATTCCTTTAAGTACTTTTTTTTAACCATCTATAATGCTAAGAACCTTCCAATGAAATTGAGACCTCTCAACTGGATAGCAGAACAAGCTCTATTACAAAAACACTATTACATTAGCTTAAGAGCAGGGAAACTTCAGTGTCTTTCATGGGATAGCATGGCTAAGAGTACAATTTAACTAGTTAAAGGCCTGATTAGTTGGCTAATATTTTTACAAGTTTTGGGTTTGGTTGTGCCAATATGGACTACCAGTGTTTCTTGAATATGTTCCTCCCCCCCCC